TTATTCTCCTTCATTCCACTCCTTTGTTATTCCTTTTTATTCTTTCTTGTATATCACTTATTGTTATTCATTTATATTTGTTATTTGTATGATTTTTATTATTATTGTATTTTATCTTGTTTTTTATTTGTTTTTATTTGTTTTTATTTGTATTTTTCTTCTTCTAAACCTTTTTTCCTTGATATTTATTTTACCATTATCATTATTGTTATGCTATTTATTGTTATTGACATTTCTTTTTTTATTGTATGACATGAATTTCTCTATGTCTTGTTTGCTTTTCTTTACACTACACATTGATATTATAACCATTGCAACAATATTTATTATGTTCTGGATTGTGTCATTGAATATTTTTGAAAAAAGGAAGAAATTAAATAATTTAATAAGAAATATTTTTAAAAAATAAGTCTCAGGGTTTCTACATGTGGCAAAACGTTTTTCCAACAAACCTTCAAAGATACTATTTAAAATAATAATTGATCTTTTTATTCTTTAATTTTTTTCATGTCAAAGAAGCAAGAGCCAAAAGAAAGAGTAATTCTTGGTAGAATTACTAATCACCTTCGAATGGGTATTGTTGGACTTCCAAATGTTGGAAAATCTACTTTATTTAATGCGTTAACAAAATGTCAAGTTCAAGCTCAAAATTATCCATTCTGTACTATTGATCCAAACCAAGCTCGTGTTGCTGTTCCTGATGAACGTTTTGATTATTTATGTGAACATTATAAACCAGCTAGTAAAGTAGCTGCATCTTTACAAGTCACTGATATTGCAGGTCTTGTTAAAGGTGCTGCTGCTGGTGAAGGACTTGGAAATGCATTCCTTTCACATATCAGTGGTGTTGATGGTATTTATCAAGTAGTTAGAGTATTTGAAGATGAAGACATTGTTCATGTAGAAGGAGACATTAATCCAATTAGAGATATGGAAATTATTCTAAATGAATTATGCTTAAAAGATGAAGAAATTATTTCAGCAAAGGTTGAAACTCTTACTAAGCAAAATGTTCATAAGAAAGATAAAGTTGTTATTGAAGAAATAGCATGTTTAAATAAATGTCTTGACATGGTTAAACAAAAAAGACCAATTAGGTTTAACGAATGGACAGATGAAGAAGCAAGTTTTATTAATAATGTTCTTCCACTTACTGCTAAACCAATGATATACTTAGTTAATATGTCTGAGAATGACTTCTTAAGAAAGAGAAATAAGTATTTATTAAAAATTAAGAATTGGATTGAAGAAAAATGTAAACCCTTCCCAATGGATCCAATTATTCCATACTCTGGAGCTATCGTTGCTAAAGAAATTGATGCTGCACTTGCTAAAACAGCTAACCAATCTTCTGAACCAGAAATTCTTGCTGCTGGAGCATTAGCTAAGATTGTTAACACCGGTTATACTACATTAAATTTGATTCACTTCTTCACTGCTGGTCATGACGAAGTTAAGTGTTGGACTGTTAGAAAAGGTACTAAAGCACCACAAGCAGCTGGTACTATTCATAGTGATTTTGAGAAAGGATTTGTTTGTGCTGAAGTTATGACATTTGATGATTTTAAACAATATGGAAGTGAACAAGAAGTTAAATTACAAGGAAAATATAGACAAGAAGGAAGAAATTATCAAGTTTGTGATGGTGATATTATGTTCTTCAGAGCTAATACCTCTGGATTGGGAAAGAAGAGATAAAATGTTCTTTTTAAGAGTCAACATAATTTAATGGTTTTTCAAATATTAATTTTGGTTTTTTATTTTTTGTTTAAAGATAGAAATATTTAATTAAATAAATTCCCACTCATTACTATCAAAGGGTAGATCTTTATTATCACTAAAATACCAACCTCCTTCATTTCCTTCATTACTTAACTCTTTTTCTAATACCTGTGTTTCTTGGTTCTTGGGTTGGATTTGTGTTTTCATAGGGTTTTTTAATTTTCCATTTTCATATATAAATAAATATGAACGAGATGCTTTCTCTTCTTCTTGTGCTTCTTTCCTTTTTTGTTTAATTTCTTTTAAGTCTTCTCTAAGTTTTTCATCTTTTTGAACAACAGTTTCTCTGATAGCATTATGAGAAATATCTTGTTCAACTTGTTTAATAGCATTTTCTTCCATTGACTTAATTAAATTTAATGTGTTTAATTCTTGTTGTTGTTGTTTAGATTCTTTACGTTTTTCATTTTCTAGGTATTTTTGCATGTTTGATTTATGACTAAAACTTGATTCATGTTGTTGTCTTGTCTAAATAATTATTTTTTTTATCTCGTCAGATATTCAAACAACAAAACAAAATAAGTATCAAACAACATCTTTATTTTGAATAAATTTCTTGCAAAATTGGCACCAATACATGTCTTGGTTGGAACGCGACATAGTCGTGAATAAGTTGAGATATAAAATAAAAAAAGTAGTTCATTTTCTAAGAATGAATAGTTTATTTTTTTTAAATAGGAATACTAAAAAGAACTATATCACTATATTTCTACCAGTCTTTAATAGTCTTTATGTTTCTTATTCTTCTTCTATATTTTCCTCTTGCTTTATCTGAAATATGCAAAATAAGACCAATAGAAGGTGTCGGAAAAATTGACTTTCTTAACCCTCATACATTTATTCAAAATAATTGCCCTTGTAATGGAAATAATTGTACTATTGATTTAACTCCATTGGCTTGTGGCATAGAGCTATATAACATTACTGCAAATTCTTTAATGTTTATCACTCCAATAAATCCTGCATGTTCTCAACTTCCTATCCTTCGTTTTATATTAACTTCAAATATTTATACAATGAATGTAGGGTATGTTAGAATTACAACAGAAAGTAATTCTTTTGTATCAATTAGTGATTTAGTTATCAGTCAACCAGAAGGTGATGTTCAGTTTTTTGACATTAATGAGATGGTTATTATTAAAAAAGTAAAAAGTTTTAACCAATCAATATCGTCGAGCCTATCAGTGATTAATTCGAAACTTAACTTTATCTCGATTGATAGAAATATTACACTAAATTTCATCAACTCTGATATTCACTTCAGTGATATAACCACTGTGCTTGACCAAGAACTATTTCTTCGTCAATCAATAATTTACATATCAAAATCTCTAATTATAGAAAATGCACACCTTACAATTTACTATGATCAATACCAAAGTTGGAGTGTTCTTTATGCTAACTCTGATATTGAAATAAGTTCAATGGCAGTAACATTAGTTATTGAAGGAGATTCAGTCAGCTCTCAAAGTGATTGTTACCAAGAGTCATGTGCCCCATTCATAAGTAACACACCAGGAAATAAGGTATATCTTAGTGACAATATTACTTTTGAGGTACTTAACGACACTGGAATGGATAAACTTGAAATTCTTTTACAAGATCATTCAGTGGAACTATGTTTTACTAGTTTGTTATTCTGCTTTTCTTTCTTTTGAATTATAATAATCATTTCTTAGGGACTAAAGGATGTTCCGTTGTAGAAAAATACGGATATATCTTTGTATTTGTGCTTTTTTTTATTCTTTTATTGCCATTTCTAGTTATTCCTGTAGTAATTTGGATGAATAAAATGGGTTGTCGAAAAAAAGACCCTTATCAAGATTTTGGTTATTAATTGAATGTAGATTAAGTCTCATACATTTATAAAATTTGTTTTATTTAAATAGGCTGTTTAATGTTCATAATATTTCTGTACCAAAAATCAAACAATTATTTATTTTAGTAGATTGTTTATGGTTTGTTTCAACACAAAACTGAGAATTGAAAATATCATTAATAATACCAAAATTTATAGTACTTGATAAAATAATAAAAAGCAATTAATTAAGTA